ATTTTTCCCTGTAGGTCTTTCTTTCAAGAAGTATCTTCTGTTCTAGCCGCTCCAGGCTGGTCTGCTCGTCCTTTCAAGTGGAAATTTCCCATCTCTGTAGAACTGGATGTGGTTCAGGCTTCCGCCTATAGTCTTGTGTATTGCAGAGGCTCTGCAGGAAGCCTCCTTCACTGAGCACGTTGTAGCTCCATTTTAGGTATTCCAATCAGTTATAGGCAGAAGATGGACTTACAAGCTTTCTATGGTGATGTTTTTGACTGTTCCTTTCTCTCCCCCTCCAGTGTCTATTTTATATTGTAATGCAAGGAAGACCAAGATTCAAAAGATGTGCCTTTAATTTTAAAGTTAAAGTTTACATTTAAACTGCATAACAGAGCACATCTTTAATGTACAAAATATGTTCGTGTTCATTCGTATTTCTGCAGCACAGCATAGTCCTACCTGTTCTGCCTTGGAATGTGGACTCTGAGGTACTTTTTTTCTTTGCTCGCCCACTTTCCCTGCCTTATTCTCTGCTCTCTTGTCACTTTCAGTACAGCCAGTTTTTAAGTGAGCGTCTATTATGTTCCAGGGGCGGGGCATGGCCACAGCAAAGAAGGTGGATGTGCTTTCTGACCCTCTGCCACTTACATTCTAGTGAGGTAGGCAAAATAAAATCGGTATGGGAGGGGAGAAGTGTTCAGAAAGAGACAGAAAATCACTATAGGGGCAAATCTCACAAGGAGCGAGAAACCCTGGTGGTGCAGAGGTTCAAGCACTCCATTGCAGAATGAATGATCAGCGGTTTGAACTCACCGGCCACTCAGTGGGAGAGAAATATAGGAAACTGCTTCCGGACAGATGTATGGCTCCGAAAACTCTGTGGGCAGTCTATGAGAAGCACCCAAAGAACAAAGGATCCCTGGTGGTTAAGGGCTTGAGTGCTAACTGAAAGGTTGGAAACGCGAACTCCCAGCCACTCCGTGGCAGGAAGATACAATAATCCACTTCAGTGAAGATTGGTGTGTTTAAGTACTGTCAGGTCAGTTTCTACTCCTAGTGACTCTGTGTAGAGTTTCCGAGGAGCAGCTGGTGGATTTGAACTGCTGGCCTTGTGGTTCGCAGTCCATTCCTGAGCCTGCAGTACCATATCAGGACTCCATAAAGAGTATAGCCTTGGAAACCCTGTGGGACAATTCAACTCTACAGGGTCGCTGTGAGTTGGAATGAACTCTACAAAAATGGACCTGCTTTTGGTTTAACCAAGGAGACTGACTTGGGCAGGTTGGCCAGTAAGATGATAAATTAGGAAGCTTCGTCAGTGTGAAGAGCCAAGAGTGCATGACGTCGGTGTGTCTAGAGTTTGGGAACCAAGAGAAATGGACCTGGGATCAAGTATGGGGGTGGGTGGGTATCAGGGGCTACTGTTTGTTAGCCCAGGAGGGCCAGGTTGGGCGGGTCACATAGGATGACCTCCTTGTGGAGATAGGAGCTTGTAGAGAACAGACACCCAGCCTGAGAGAGAAGAAGATAAACTGTCAACGAGATAAGCGCTCGTTCTCTGAGAGCTAAATATTCTGATTCTGTGACCTGCCAGGTGATGCCACGAATTTTCTGTAATTCTTTCCCTGAGACATGCAGAAATTATAACAAGGGAGGAGATGGCATCTACCTTTGTTGTCTTCTCAAAGAATTGCATAGTGTACAGAGTGAGGATTTGGGGTGGCCCTACATGGAGCAAGTCTGTGGCCGCCATTTTCAAATTACCACAGGCTTGTTTCGTTCCTCAGTGTCCCATTTTGTTCATCCTCACACTGTCAATCTATATCATAATGCTTAATAGACAACGTTGTTAAGTGTCGTCAAGATGGTTCCAACTCGTAGTGACGCTGTATAGGGTTTCTGAAGCTTTAAATCTTTGTGAGAGCAGAATGCCTCATCTTTCTCTCATGGAGCAGCTAGTGGGCTTGAACCACTTGTGGTTTGCAGTCCAGTGCTTCTTGTTAGGAGCCAACACACTTCCCTGAAAGAGTCACACAATGTCAACATAACTTTTATGTGTACAACTTGGTTTGGTGTGGTAACTTTACTGCGGAGTTCTGGAACTGTATCTCAGGTCTGCTGGTGCGCAGGGATGTCTGACATAAAATCATTGTTTCCCACCTGGCCCTCAGATTAGAAACCAAGAACCAGAGTATGAAGAGATGACTTTTAGCTCAGAATGTTCCAGGCCCTGGGGTGGATATAGAGGTGATCTGAAATTTCATGTCCCTCTTTCCA